TTCGTGTTGGCAGTTAAGTACTTAACAAAAAAACCTGCCTAACCTACTTGAATACTCTCAAATCGTAAATAAAAATTGTATTGCTGTTCAGCTATACATTCTGATCAAACAAACAAATAAATAAATTGCAGAGCAGGTGAACGGTCGTACGTATCTACATCTACAATTCGCGCAAAATAGCATTGAGGTCACAGAAACAAAACACGGAGTACGCCGACCTTTAAAGTGCATTAAACAAAAGCGACATAAACTACCTACGAACACCTTAACCTGTAACTTATAACGATAATTGGAATTAATGTGTACCCGGAGTGCCTAACGCACGCGTGCTACCAGGTCCTGCAAAATATTGGAGGTAAGACATGCGAAATGAGGCGCTATGCTTTGGGTGTGAGGGGTTAAATTAGCCTCCTGGTCAGAAGGGCTTGTAGAGGTTGTATGAATGTCAGAGGTGATATGATACGATGGCAGGTGTGGTGGCAGCTGCGAAACGAATATTTACCATTGCATTAGCTTCGGATCATCATTTTCGAGCGAGGTAAGTATCTCTACAATAGTAAAGAATCATGTGTATAAGGAGAAAATATTTCTCGGTGTAATTTTAACGGTCGCGAAACGTCACAATATAATAGGAAATGGCAGTTGACGACCAATACTGTAATATTAATACAAAAACATGCCACAGCTGTAAGTAACAAAAGGTAAACTTAAACCAAAACCTAAAAAACTTTAAGAATGATATAGTAAGAAGTAGTAAGACTAGACTTCCATACCAAATCTAGGCAAACTATTAACGTATTTAAGCTAACATACATCACCTGATTATGTTTTACGGGATAATAAATTCTATGAACTTTAAGATTATACAAATTCCGTATCCATACTATTTTAAGTACTCAAAGCGATGTGGGCGTTTAGATGGATTTCAATATTATCGATTACAAATCGTCGATTTATACGATTACGGTTTTTATACTTTATAGTAATCGTAAAACTTGTACGGTTCAATGGAAACGTGTAACTATAAAAAATAATGTGATTTTTATTAGTGGTAACAACGACCGAATTGAAAATGAGAGAACAATAATAATCGGTAACAACAAAAGATACAGGTCAAGCGGATTATCTAGGAGATAGATTTCAATATACAAACAGATATAAGAAAGCACTATTGTTGCGAAATAATTCTTTTTTGTTCGTTTACAAATATGCCCACGGACCACGATTGATTAGACAAATTATATATTAAAAAATCCGAGAAGAAAAAACAGTTACAGATAAATATTGGAAGGAAATAAGGTTAAAATTTAATATTATTAACTTCTATGGTCTTCACACAAAAGTATGAGACGGCCTGAAGTTTCATATTATAAGTAGCTACCACAATGTAACTGTTGGGTTACACACGGCGGAGAAAGGAGAGAGAACATCTGTGCTCGACAGTAGAACAATTTTATCAAAACAGATTGCTCTACGAGTGACTTCCTTTGACAGCTTTATTTTAGTAAAATAAAGGCAAACCTAGCAATGGGTCTGTGCCATACGATAACCAAGCTGCACTTCTCAGAAAACGATTTACGACTCAATTTTACTACACAGATGAGATACTATCTAGTCGCATGTAGTCTAAATACTTAATAGCATGGCTGATGTGCACCAAAACCGTTCCAAAATCAAATCACGTTATGCATTTCCCGGGCGTGGGGCCAATGCGCCCGCGCAGGGTTCTAATGACAAGGGCGGGGGGTATAACCGGTCGCCGCACTGTGGTATGTAGCACTTGCGTTCAGCTGACATGGCAAGCATTTTAGTTGTTAAGCGCGAATTGCTTTATTATTGGCTTTGATCAAAACTTATATTGCTTCTTATAAACAATTTTATTGACATTACAAACCTTTAATATATAATTCATATATATACCAAATACTTACTTTGTGTTATATAATTTTTATTTTACTTGCATCAATTTCGGCATTTCAGGATAGTTACAATACGATATGTTCATATTAAAAGCCCCAGTGGTTAAAAAAAAATGTAATCTATAAAATGAGTTGTAAAATATTAATCATAAAGGATCACCTTGATTATGATGATGTGAATGTCCAGTCTTAGCCCCGCAACCATATAATATGATAAAAGCAAGTTTTCTCATAACAAGCAGTTAATGACCGTCACAGTTCGTGAAACAGCAAAGCGTTACCACGCGGTTATCGTTCGACCGCAAGCATAATATTACGTTAAGGGCATCAAAAAGTATTCTACATCAATAACTATATGTTATTGTTATAGAACTTTTTTGTAATATTTACTTTTAAACAGAGGTGACCCCCCCTAAGTTCTTTTTATGGCAACATTAAAAATATTATTCTAAGTTAATTTCATTTTTTAGTAAATCAATGTTGTCGTAATGGAAAGATGCACTATCCTTTCTAAGTTTTGAATACTAATGGCAACACTTTAATTACGCGAAAAACAATAAAAATATTTTTGTTACAAGATACACTATACCTCGTTTATAATGATGGTAAAATTAATGACCCGGTGTAATGCTTAGTAACAGTCTTAATTTTAAAGGTTTATGGATCATGCATACTTAAGCTAGGAAATACAAGAATCAGTCAAATAACGAAAGGGATCAATTCATAAAATAACTTTCGAAATTGAAGCACGTACAAAATTGTCAATTTAAGTAATTAATAAAAATAATTATAACACTGCAATAGAGTTAAATACTGAACGCAATAGATACATCACACGAAACGATAAGCGGCTTCCCAAGAGAGTAAATTTTTAAAATATGAATCTACTTCCGTATAGTAGAATTGTTTATGCCATAAATTTGCTATCAACTATTTTTTGTTTCCAAACTATAGCACATACCTATCCTAAAACGTTATCACGTTTGGCTTTTGCCAGCTACATACAGTAAAGCGTCCAAGAACCCGTTTCCCTTCGCCCGGTTAGAAGTTCTAACTTTTTATTTTACCGCTCACCCTTCTTGCCTTAGCACGAACCCGTACAATCTTTGTTTTGTTACCGATTTTCGCACCGCTTCGATAGCTGGAGTTGTCCGAAGACACTCAGTTGACAGTTAAATACGTTAATTATTATATTAAGATTTCTTTGTAATATAAAGAAAGAGACCAAAATTGGTTGGTTAGCATTTCTAAAAATATTATACCAATATTTGTGGTTTTGATTTAGCGAATGGTCTTTTATGTCAATAGTAAATAGGTACATTGTTTGCGTTCCGGAATATTGTAAGACCTAGGCTTGTTGAAACGGTGTTGAAAACCAAACCAATAAAGATCTAACTTACTATGACACAGACGCGGGACTAAAAACAAGAAATAATATGCCCGCTACAAACAGCGGGCATTGTTTTCGTGTTGCGTCCAGTCCGGTCGAACAATTTTTCTGTCAACACACCGAGGCTGCTCGGCAGTTAGTAGTCGGCACGCAAGCATCAGGAAACGCATCTACATAGTAATTACACAGGCCGTGGCTGGTGTAATTGCACCCGTATTCCTATCTCCAGAATGCACTTAGGCTGGCAGACAAATTAAAATGGCATTAATTTTTTTATGACTGCTATTATTAAGCATGACAAGGGACTACCGACACAATCAGTAACATTTAGGAGTACTTTATCACAGGATACAAATCACCTTTGGGAAATAATGTTCCTACACTAGCTTTAAGAAATGTTTCATTTGGGAGCATATTATGTATCACACAAATCAAGTAATTAAAGTAAGTAAGTAGAAAAATGTTATGAAAACTTCCTATAGAGTCTTACCAAGACAAAATGATAAGTACCATATTTGCCACTATCTAAACATCCAATAGATACCTACATTAAAGTAGGAAATATCAATGTTATATTTATATTCAGGATATTTGTGTGTACTTTTAAATCTTTGCTCTAACTAGAATACTACAGAAATCATCTAACATTACACATTGTAACTTTGATATGGACACCTAAATTTGTTTACTCAATATGATAACATTCAAGCGATTAAATTTTATATTAAAATTGTGTAATATATTACTATAAGACAATAATACTAGAATACAAGATATTAAAAGTAGGTAGGAAGTAGTTATGTAGCTTTAACTCACTCCACTACTGTGTTTACTCATTGCAGGGAAGGTAGGTATATGCAAATGTTTCATTTTCAAAATTCACTCGAGAACAAAGTGGTGGGTAACAAGATTGTATGAAAAAAACTCATAACTGTGTTACTATTTGCATGGTAGGTAGGTATATGCAAATTCATATTATACTACCCATGGAAATAAAAAAGTTACTTTCAAATTTTAATATACTTCAGTGAAATACCAAAAATATTATCAAAGCCTGGGTATTAATGATATCATTCACATTCCTAATTACACCCAACTATCTCAGCTGATATAATCTTGTGGAACAAAAGATAATTTTTATCACCAAATTATCAAGCATTTTGCGTCATGTGATAGTGACCGAGAACTAAAGTCAAGTTCAAGTAATTCGCCTTGAATTATAACAAATTGTATAACTAGGTTTTTATGTAACCAAAAATTATTATGGAATCGCTAATTGCTATGAGACGGTTACGCCCGATATATTTAAATAATAATTTACACATATAACAGGCGGGTCGAGACGAAATTTTGATTTTATTGCAAGTGTTAAAATAGTTTACATTAAAAGATGGCGGCGTTTTCGAGTTTCGAAACAGATAATTTATAACAAAAAACGAACTGTTTTTGTAACAGAACTTGAATAAATTATAAAATTTTGAGAAGTTGTATGACGATAAAATCTTGGTATTGCGGGCTGTAATAATTCTTTTAATAGATGGAATTAATTACCATTAGATAATAGTTTTCGAAAACAAGGTCACGTCTTGACGTTCTGAATAATGCGAGTTTAGTTTACGTATTTGCTCAGAAAAAACTTAAAATAGTGGAATAGTGTTATATGCGAGATATTCGCCTGCTTATCTAATATCTTAAGGTCCGTTGCGGGCATTCAACCAAAATAGGCCTAACGCGTCGCTTAGATGGCCATGACACCGACAGCAGCGCAACAGCCTCCGGTCACTAGAGCATTGACTCCTTAACATTTCGATCACGAGTCCGGTAAATAAAATAGCGCACCTGTCAGAAGACTCGGAGCTGTCGTATCTGTCGAAGCATCTCTTCTTCCTGTCGTCGCCGTCGTCGCCAGAACCCGATGTTTTTTGACTGAGAGTTGCCTCGCCACGAGCGGCGGCCACGCCGAGCGTCTCACTTTTTTCACAAGATTCACTCTTATCTAGTTCGGTATAGAAAGACAATTGCACTCTGCCGTCCGGGGTCGGTTCACTGCACTTTTTTATGTCACCACGGGACGGGTCGATCGCGGGAAAAGTTAATTCGTTTATTTTTTTCGGGCCGGCGCGGTCCTCGGACGACCCATCCGCCATCTTTGAGCGCGCGAGTGTTTTGTCGCGAGTTGCGGATCGGCGCCGCGGGCCGCATGGGCGCTGGCGTCGCGGGACGAAGGCGGCGTGACGTCAGAGCGGCTGCGCGGCCGGCGGGGGCAGAGCGCCGGTGACGTAAGGGCTCCGCCCCGTGCATGTGCAGGGGCTCTGTCATTGGCCGCGCGTTACGCAACCCGCGAACCTATTCAAATACCCACGGAAGGGAAGCGCGCCGATAGGGACAGGCCCGTCCCAGCCCTAAACGTAACAAATAATGCAGCATAATGACCCTACACACATTCAAACTCTCCACGACACATTAGTGGAGCAGGGTCTCGCTACGCAAACAAGTGTACTGAAATTGATGATAATCATCTTTGTCATTCTTTTATTAACTAACCAAAAAAGTTTACGTTCGTAAGGAGTTTCTCTATAATATCCTAGAAATTTCGATTTAGTTAGCTATTGAAACAAATCTCCTTTCTTAAAGATTAAGCGATTATAAGAAATTCATCTAAGTAATTAATACTTGACTATATTGTGACAATAAACACGGTCTTATTATAACACATATTTCTAAGTAGTGTTTAAAATAGCTCTTAAAAAAATCTGGACATAAACCTTCTTAGCATATCACTTTGCCAAAATGTCTTAGTCCTTATCAATAGAGCTTTCTCTAACTGTGTAAACTCAGTATTATTTAAATAAGCCTCATTCACTTAAGTCTGCTTAGGTATTTATATTAGATATATAGTATAGTAGTTTTTTTTATTATAATTTTCGAATTACTTTTTACAAGTAAGGTTCAAAAAATATTAAATTGTTTTCGGGTGTTAAATTCTCTAAATTAATTTGTAATTAATATTTCTGTGATGAATCATCAAAATTACTTTTTTTCTATAGTTTAATCATAATATGGTTAGAGGTTAAAAAGATTTGAATTTTGCTGATCTGACTTGACGTGATGTATCATAAGATATCAGTCAAATACAATTAGAGTTCCGGAAGTGTGCTTAGTAATTGAATTGCGTATCGATTCTGATGACTTCGAAAGAGTAGCTTCAGAAGCAGTGTCCACTATATCAAAGCGAAGGGATGGTGTACAGATAAGCCATGAAGAGAAGAGAAGCCGTCGGGCGAATATATAGGGGCTAGTGTCGTGTTGTGACGCGTTAGAGAAACATTTGTTATATTAACGATGTCTTTCGTTTGTTATATTAACGATTTATTTTCAATAGTACGAATTTAAAATAAATCGTTACCGCCGCTAGAGACAGAGTAGCCTAACTGCAATTTTTATGACCTTAATTATTTATTATGAAAATATAAAAAATTGTTGAAAATCATGTTTTTTTGTTATTAGGGCACTCTGCCTCTAGAAGCCTCATTTTAACATAACATGTAAGGAGTCAGTCTATTATAATATATAGCTGTTTACAGGCTCTTTAATAAGACAGCAAAAGTCACCAATAATTCTGAGATGAATATAGTAACTTCTTCTCCTGCCTTCTTTTGTTAAAATGAACACTAAAAACGTGGTTCCCCTAAATAGCCTGGAAAGTCAGAAATAACCACATATGAACAGTAGGTATAGAACGCTGGAAAAACTGTTTACATTTTCGCCTATCTGAGTGGTATGAATCTTTATGAGTACTAATAACTCGTACTAACTTTTGAGTACTCGTGAATACGAGCAAAAACAATAATGTTTTACTTAATTTAATTACAACGAAGACTTAATTTTAAAAAATACACATCGTATTCATTGAGCATACTAAAATTAAAAAATACTTTACATAAATTATCTAAAATACTTTAAAGTGTCGAATGCCATCTAGCGATAAAAGGGTAGCAATCAAAGTTGTCGGGGCAAACCTTTAAATTGTTAGCAATGCCATCTATTGGAACTTTGTTTTACTACGTTGCCTTAGCCATAACAGCGGTTAGAGCCATACAATTTTACAATGCTTTGTAATTGTTAAATTTTACTACTACGGCTATTGAAGCATTTGTCAGAACCTTTAGGAAAGAAAAATCAGGAATTTATAAAAAATAATTTAATTCAAACTACTGTATAAAATCACCTTTCAATGTATAAATAAAATAAACTGTCAAAAATTTCCAAAAATAGCATAAATCTTTTACAATATAACTCTAAAATATTTCTGTTTTTGGACGATGGTACGGATTACCTTGTATAAAAAATAAATAAATAATATTGTTCAGTACCATAAACAAGTGCAATTACTCTTAAGATAAACAGGACACTGTAGTATACAATGTATAAAGAGGTAGATAAAATTAAGTAAGTAGAGTCAGAAATGCATCAAACTTAGTCAGATTTAATATACAAAACTGGAATGGCTTGAGAAATACAAAAATAATATTTTCAACATGTAACATTCTGCACAGTAAAATATAATCTATGGATTATAAGGCAAAAATAAATAACATTAAAACAGCAGAATATTAACATTAATAAAAAAAAGTGAAACCCTAACCTAGAATTGCTTATACTTTTCGTTTGACTGTATAAATAATTATATTATTTGATGCAAAGCCATCAAACCCGTGGGTCGTTTATAAACGGTAAACTTTGTTTAGCATGTTTGAATTTAGTCAGAAACATATCTGAAAGATTATGAAGTAGGGATGGCATTTAAAAGGGAATAAAAGTCGATCTTACCTATATTTGAAGGTGTACGCTGACGTTATTCTAGTCCTAATATAATGATGAAAATTTTGTTGTTTGTTTATCATTCTATAACAGAATAATCTCATATCTAGTACACTATAATAAATAAAAATAATAAATATGTCACTGTATCAGGTTTCAAGTCACACATACATAGTTTCAGGTCATCTGAGGTGGTTTTGCGATTACAATATAACCACAAAAACATTGCTTAGCTGTATGTAAGTAAATATACATATAATATTTCAATAACCCTTTTAAAAAACATGTACATACATAATTTAAACTTCTTTTAGATTTTAAATGAAATAAATATACCACCAATTAAATACTGCTTATAAAAATATTAAGATTTGAATAATAGTTATTATTTATTGCACATCAATTCTCTCTATATATAATTTACATAATAAATGGATTCAATGATGACTTGAGAAGTTCAAAAACAGTTTTTTTTTATGCAACGTACTAAAAAGTTATCAACAGATGAAACAGGCATCAATTAATTATTCTTAAGAATCAAGTAGTCGAGCCAAAAGGAAACTATTATTTCCACGGAAACGCAATACGTTTTTATTTTAACCATTGAGGCATGGATAATGCCTTATTACTGTATACAGATTTCATTAAATCTAGGTCCACAATGAAGTAGGCATCATACCTTCCATTGATGTATTTCGCGGTGTCAATGTTTCGTTGCAAAGGAAATTGAGAGGTAAGTCAACAACAAAACCTTGTATAAGGTCTATTTTTCTATTCGCAAGCGCGGGATCTTTCCGCCACAATGTTTCCGAGTTTTCTTCTTGATATTTCTTGAGTTCGGCAAATGTGTGGACCTCTTCGGTTGGTAATGTATGGAACACCTGGAACAAATGATTTTAAAAAGTTTGATTTCCACTTGTTGAACACAAAATTTTCTAAAAAAAAAACAAGCGTGCAAAGAACAAGCATCGGCAAAAAACCACATGAAACTAATAATCTGCGAATCTCAGTTACAGGAGGGTAAGTAACAAACAGTTATTCTATCCGGCTTGAAGGACTAATTCGAGAGCAAACTTATAAAATGTATTTGACAAAAGCGACTAACAAAATAACGTAGATTTACCTCCTCATAAATAGCCGTATTTTGCTTAGATGTTGCCTTCCATACGTTGATGTAGAACTGCTCAGCGCAAGGGTCTTCTATATTGATGGCACTCTGATCGAGATCAGCATCCATAAGCCCTAAATGTTCACGGAACAGTCTCTTCCTAAGAGACCCGGCCACACGGCCCACAGGAAAGGGTTTGCTATTCATTACCCCGTCTTCAAACGTTTCGTCCTACAAATAATTATTTAATGACATGTTGATTTTATATATCTGACTTCTTCATATGCTTTACTATTTTTGTATATTTAACCTACCTGTATCAAAACAGCGATCTCTGAATCTCTCTTGCCGATCATAGATCGATCGTTGATATTAGCGCTGCCACAGATGATATATCTATCATCAGCTATCAGCAGTTTTGAGTGGACGTACACGAGCTCTGTTACCGGTTCTCCCTCTAATATAGAGTGAGTTCTTAACCCGTGGAAGGTTATATACTCGCTAGGGTCTGGAAGACCTGCCTCATATAGTCTGGTGAGAATGGCTTCGCGACTTCTGTAAGTTTCAAATTAAACTTTTACAAGGGAACACCTGATAATTAATATCATTTCGTTCCTAACACAGTGCGAACAGTGTTATTAAGTTACACTACATCAAAATTGACATTTAAAAAAATCGTAAAAATGAAAAACATGTAATTTGTTAACACATATTATTTTTACTATGCGAATTTTGCAATTTTATACCTGCATATACTTTGATAGTTCCAGTGCGTCACCGCGTGTAAAGAGGTACCCGTCGCCCCCCCTACTTCCCCCTCAAAACCGGGTAGCAACGGCATTACGACGTACACGCGGAATATCTCTTTTGCTCGAAACGCTCGCATTATACGGTTATATAGAGCTTCACCAATCTGTAAATAGAACGGTTCGTTTTACCCTTACATATAAAATATCAATAACATGATTTAATATTGTTCTTTGAACTGTCTAGTTTGTTTTAAATAGAAAATATTTTTTGTCAAGTTTTTAGACACTGTAGCAGTCTTAACCCAATCACCGTGTGCAATCAATTCAATGTGCGGTCTACATATCGATTTAGAAGTAAGAAAAAATTGTGTTATTATTATTTAATATATTATTTTTCGTAATTCTTTTACAATTTAATAAAGCAATTGCAAGTTTAAGAGAGGAAGAAAAATAAACGAAAAGACTATGAATTTTAGTGGCAACTCAGTTTTAGTCTATAGATTCCTGATATCTAAGACCAACATTTTTGACATTTCATATTGTCAAGATGTTATATGGATGGGGTTTTCACCTTCAATGTCAGTTTATTGATAAAATACAATTTTATAAGTATACTAACTTGATTTCGAACAGTAGGGTTAGATCTCGACAGGGTAATAAAGAATTGGTTTTCTATATAAATATAGTGTTGAGCTCTTGTAATGGTGTCTACGTACGCCTCGTGTATACTTTGTTCCACTGTGTCTGGGTCTAGGAAACCACAAGACCAACTTGAAACACTCCGTAACACCTGTAAAGATAAATCATGTATGTAAAGTGACGAATATTATTTATTTACTACGCAATTACCATAAAAAAAATGCAAAAGAAAATATTAGGTACAACGCCATCTAGCGGGCTCCTAAAGAAGTTTTTTTGTAATGGTATATCTATAGTAAATGTAAAAAGGGTCATACATAAAAAAACTTACTTGACACGAGACATTATGAAGATCGATGCCTAGAAGTTCATCTAGATCTTGAAGGGGTTTTATGTCCGTGTAAGACTTAGGAAGCAGGTACGGGTAGTTACTATTTTGCCTGAAATTAATAATTATTAATTGTTATTTATAGAGTTTAACAGTAACGCGAGTATGGCTGCTTAAAAAGTAATAACCTAGCTTTCTCCAATTTGATAGCATTCCATCTTTGTATGAAATGTCTAGCAACGTCACGTGCGGCCGCACCTTGCACCATAACGCCAACATCGTGCCACGGCATTCTAGGTGTTGTGTTTCTATCAACTAGGTCTGAAATCGTGTGCAAACCCTTAAGATTAGTAAATTAAAAGAACCCAACTATAAATAGTCTTTGACTCTGAAATAACTCAGGGAGAACTTTAAAAAGAGTTTATTTCAATGAGTTCAAAAAAAACATCATCACATCATTCTTACCAACAAACGGCAGATCTAAGTTATTGAAGTCCTTAACAATAAAATTTACGTAATCTTTTCCAATCCATATCTTTGAGTTTCCTTCCATGCCTTCTAGCACCTTCTTTGTACTTTCTGTTATGACCCGACCTTCAACGACCTGAAACATGCTCATTTTATTATAATATGTGCATATTTAAAGGCAGTTCTAGTAAAGAATAAGATTAAACTTTCTTTGACACAACAGCTTAACTCGGCTTACCTGCGCTAAGGGCGTGGGCTCATCAATCCTAATCTCATTGATATTCAACCCTAGAGCATCTGTTAAAAGCACTTCATCATTAGACCGTGCATATTTCTCTGCTTTCTTCCTCTCTGAGTCATCGAACTTCTGTTCGTTTCTTTCCTCTTCGTATGGAGGGTAAATTATACCTGTGAAAATTTATAGACCATAATGGAAAAGTAAAAATTACTGATGATGTCATTTAAATATTATTCATGATCGAAATAATAGCCATTAAAACAGGCTTATTTTCAAGAAATAAGCCTGTTTGAATGGCTTTATTTTTTTATTTGCTTCCTTATTGTTTATAGTGGTCGGAATAATTTTAGATGTATCTATTAAAATTTAAAACAGATTTTTTTTCTTTTGGACTCATCTTACTTTTAGAAGTTTAGGTCTATACTGGTTTCTCCTTTACATATTTTACTACAAAGGACTAAAAAGTAAGTCTCTACCAATAATATCCTTTCCCCTGTTAGTCAGTTTGCCTAAGACGTTTCGCTTCTCATCCTTATCATGCGTGGCTATGAGAAGGTGATCTCCAGGTTCTAAAACCGGAAGATCAGGGTTAGGTATGTTTTCTGATTCTGTCTGCTGAGTCTCTTGGTCGACATCTTCTTGGATCATTCTAAAAAGAGAAACAATAAATAAAATGAGATAAATGGGGATGTGACTCTTAGTACTTACATGGTCCAATATTACTAGTACGTGTAGTAGTAGGTGGTTAAGAATTAACCACCTTCTTTTATATAATTACTTTTTTGATTTTCTTCTATAGAAAAAGTTACTCGAAATTGGCTAGGAGAAGACGAAGAAGACAAGTTTGTACACTGACCTCTTTACGCAATACATTGAATCGTGTAACTTTTATTTTAGAACTAAATAATTATTGTACTAACCCATTGTATCCAATGACAATATCTTTGGTAGCCCTGGCTAACTCTATCGCAGCCTCGATGTTATTTTCCCGGGACGAGTACAGCCCACCACCTGGCGAACTTGAAGTCTTCTTCTTTGTCTTAAACGATGTTTTCGGTTGGGATATGTTACCGAGATCTGTTAATCTGTAATATTAAAAAAGGATTGCTAAAGAATTGTGTTCGGCTAAAGTCACAGGTTGGAATCGTGAAAACAACAAAATAAATAGTTAATACCATTCAAAGAGTGTTGATTAAATGATGAAATTTGTTTAAAATCTTAATATTATTCACATGTTATATAAATTGAAAATTAATTTTAGATTAAAACATTTTATGACACAGACTTGAACCTGCAACACCAGTGTTCCATGCTGCTCTAATTTACTGAGAAACCGCTGCCTACACGTCATCGTGTGTGACGCTGTAGATTCCTGTTCAAGTTCTGCTTGTGTCATAATTTTTTTTATCGAAAATCGATTTTTAAGTATTGATGGTGTGTTTTGAAATAAAAAATATTAAGATAAGTAATTTTCATATTTTGTTATTTAATCGAAAGTTATTTAATCCTAAGTTAAAGTTAAAAGAGACATACCTATGTCTGTGATCGTCCCAGCGCCCGTAGCATAAATCGATTCCCCCTAGGAAGGCAACAGTTTGATCAACACACACTATCTTCTCGTGGTGAGCCCAGAAGAATACGCCAATTTTAGCATGATCCGGATGTCGGAATACCTTAAATGCAAACAATCTATGATATAATATAAATAAATTAGTAGTCACCGCGAGTAGTACACAATCAAATGAAACACTTTAACGGTTCAAAATGCGAAATATATTAGCAACTAAACCATATTTTTTTTATTTATGTAAGATATACTTTACAGACACGTGTTTAACTCGCCTACTTAGCAATTTAGTTTTATTTGAAGCTAGTACAGAATATACTATCTGTATCTTCCTTATTGATACAATGTTTCAGTTCTAATTTTTCTTGAATACATAAGATTAAGAGTTAAAATATCAAATACGTACCTTTATATTTTCGCTAGTGAGTCGACTTTTACTGTAGAAACTGTTTATACCGAGAGCTAGCTCTACTTCTTTGTATAACATTATAAATACTTTCACTCCTTGCGCCTGAAATGTTTATTAATATTTCAAAATGCAGTGTTATGCTTTTCAGTCGAGAAACAAAAGAGGGGGGCATAATTTCGTGGACATTAGATATATCCAGGCCAAAATCTACTTCAGTTAGGCTTTATGACTTAATCAACGGGTCGTGGGTTTGATTCCCAGTTACAACACCGGCTAAAAAATTGTCTACGCCGTTTTTGTCATGCTAGTATTATACAACAGAGACACTACTACTACTGCAAGATAAAGAATGAACGAATTATAATGGCATTGCCACTTTGCCCCCCCCCCCCCATTCCATTGACTAGCATCTATTATAGTAGTTAATTATTAATAGTAATGAAATACCGCTTTCCGTTTCAATATAGTATCCAGCCTCCAATAGTCGCCGTTCAGCGCCGGCCGTTTCATATAAATCTCTGGACTAAGCCACCAATCTGCTATGAAAATCTCCTCCCGGGCTAACTCCATAGCATCAGCTACGGCCGAGAGATACGCTGAGCCGTCTACGAAGGTCGCCACGGGGGTGGCTGGGCGGGCGGGCGCGAAGGAGTGGTGTACGTTGGGGTATGTGAAGTCTCGGGCTGATGAAAATATTATCGATTAAATTTGATTGAATTGAAAAGTTAGGGTCTTTGGGTAAACACACTTTTGTGTTTATTTCACTGTTCGTGTTTTTTTGCATGTTGTTCTGTTAATGAACTTCGTCTTGTCGGCCAAGATGTTTATAGTGAATTCAGTTACGACACAGCCACTAGATGTCGTTGTCTTAACTGTCTAGCAGACTTGAATTCCAGTTATAAAGCGCTTCTTTTAAATCTATGTTTTATTTTAGAAATTTTCAAATTAAAATTTTCTTTAATAGTTAGTATCACTGACATTTTTGTCGATTTGGTATAAGTGGCTAAGACATCTGTGCCTTGCCCGATTACACATTAAATAATCTAGGCGATCTACAGGTATAAAATACTACCTTAAGTCGAAATTGATTAAAAAAAGGTATACCATTATTTTTCGGACTGTTCGGCCGACGTGAGCGAGAAGAGGTAAAGAAGAATTAATTCTTCCAGCAATCGAGGAGCTAACATCTCCTGACGATACGATGCGCACGTGATGGCGAAACGTCGAGAACCTCTTTTCGCTCACGTAGGCCAAACATACCGAAAAACAATGATATTCTGAACGATGGCCGTAAAAGCCTTATACAGTTGAATAAAAAAAAAGTCTTTGCTGAAAATACGGTTGTCTACTCTGCTCTAAATGTGACAAGATGTACCAGTATATCCTGTACCAATAGTTTGGTGTTGCTAGTTTTAAAAAAGTTTAACTATTCCTGAATATTTTCAATTAGCATTTCACAATAGGATTCAGGATTCCTATAATAGGATCAAATGGATAGAGTCTTACCGGATTGATTAGCGACAGTCTTCAAATAGTGCATCCACTCTTTGCTCTTGCGCTTCGTCCAACATTTTATCACCAACTGTCTATGCTGGTTTAGTATCTGCAGACCGTTGCTCAGTCCAGTCGAATACATTCCACTTGATACTTCGAACCTTTCAAAATGAAATATTTTTAACGATTTAACGATTTTTAACGAATATATTCGTTTTTTTATTACTATTTATTTTAACTACGGCCTTTGTTAAGCTACTCGTGTAAACCATAAATAATATTTTTAAAATGTCTAATTAATGACACAATTATATTATAAAAAAAACTATTTCAATTGCTTTTAGTTATAGAATAGACTAAAAAGTTGATAAAATTCAGTAAGTATACTTACTGTTCCAAAGCTGCACAGTATAAAAATAAATGTTTGAGTATAACATTATTTTATATAAATTAAAAACCTATTTTAGTAAGAAATTTTTAGTAAATCGGCGGATCTCTCGACTTTGTTCCGTGCTGTTACTCTTATCAACTCACCTAATATAACAGGTTCGGAACATTAAATTTGTAAAATAAATATTAAATTTGTATACATGCTATGTATATAGCTATCATGAACAGAAACATGTGAAAAATAATAACCGTATATTATAATTTGTTAAGAAATTAAATACGAACTCTTAAGTTTAAACAAACTTACAAAATTATTATTTTTTTGTGTGCGTACTTACCCTTGATCAAACAACATAACCCCCTTAACAGCACCATCGCTTGGCCGAATGTAACCAAAGAAGGTGTCCTTCACGAACAACCACCGCTCTTGAAATTTTGCACAAACCAACGCCGTACAGAAGTAGTTACACCTGAAAAATTAAAATTTACATAATTACAGGACTTTAAAAAGGGTGAAATATTTGATTTAGTAAAAAGCAACCTATATAATTAATCGTCTACTTTGTTAAGAAGTACAATATTGTACATCAGCCAAGCTACAATGCAAGGCTTATTTATCTCTAGACTAAACCAAAATCAAATTTACAAAAATGGATCCAGCTTTTGCGCCAGGAGAGGGTCAAGACCCATGACCCCTGGATCTGCCGTTGCTTGCAGGTGGAGAACAACTGTGGTCTACCACACTCTTAAGTTTCAACGGTCACTTCTACCACCTTTGGGACAATAAAAGCAATCTCACCGAACACACACCATATTGCCGAGTAGACCGAAACAGTTGCAACCGGCTTGCCCCGGCCTAGTGGAGCCAGTTCTCTTCTCGATAATCCCCTCCTTTCCTTTGGACCCTAGCTCTGATATGAATGACATTTGAGACACTTCCAGAAACGATACCTGAAAATGTTTATGAATAACTTTGGTAAAAATGACTTTATTTAATGGTTTAAAATTACGCAGTAAGTTGAAATCTATGTTTTTTTTTGTTAGAATACTGTTTATAATCAACTGGTCATAGATTCTATAAATTTATAATTTTTCTGAAACGTGTTGGACTACATATGGAAATCTGGATATGTGTAAAAATATAAAATAAATAAATAAGTAAATTCCGGCCATGTCACGAACCGCCGTCCACAGTTGACAAAATCTTGAAGTGAATCTGCATTTCGGTCTACATTTAAAACAGATTCCCAGATAACTACTTAAAATCTAAATTTGTACGTGCAGTTTTCATTCGAGGTGAACCGTCACTGAAGCAGATGGATTTCCGAAAGTCTCTGTCTATTATTGTCGATATATAGCCTATTATTATTTTTTTTTCAAATATCAATACCTAGTGCATACTTTAGCCATTTATACATGCACAAAATGATAGAAAATATATAATTTGTGTCACAACCCCTCTAGCATACTAAACAATGGGACAAATTTGGGGAAAAGGGGGGATTCTAAAGAATTTTTGGACTGGATATGTATCTTAATAAGTCAATATTTTTTTGTGAAATGGGTGAATAGTCAGCTGATAGTGTGGATTGATCACCCGGTCCTCTATCCCTATCCCCAATATTAAATAAAAAGAATAAAATGTAAAAAAGGCAAATATACACTAACTGTCTCATGGTGATTCCTATAAATAGATATGTTTAGCAAATTGTACAAATACTCCTCCAATTGTTTCATTCGCAGTTGAATGCCTTCGTACGTGATCATCACTTCTGGCTTGCGAGGAAATCTGTGAACAATACCAATTTGTGCCATAAAAGGCCATTGTATTGCGCTATTTATGGAGTCATAAATCATGACTCACTTAATTGATACAATAACCACATACGGAATGATATGTATCGTGTAATATTTTATTTTACTTTTTAAATATCACAATTAAGATTAAAGAAAACAATAATTGAACGCAAAATGTTCTAGCATTCATGAGTTTGCATACCACCAAAACATGTTAATAGATCATTTAAATATAACAGTTTTACCGGTTTAAATCACGAAATATACTAAGTATTCTAATTACATATGTTAACTATGACCCGATATTGATCACCTCTGTAGCCTAAATGGTTAAACGTATTGCGTTAAGCGCGGACAGGTCCTGGGATTGAATCCCAGAGAAACAATAAATTGTTTCGGTCAGGCAGGGCACAGAAGTCTAATCAACTACTTGCTTGTTAAAGAACCGATCAGTCAAACGGACACTCCATGCCCTACTTAGGGGAAGCAGGATTTACAAGATGTTATTTAACCAGATATGTGAATTCAGAAAGCTTATTTTTAATATCAGTAGGGTTTTCCCACAAACCTCGGCAAAGCACCTCTTCTCTTTTTAGGCCTGCCATCTCTCTTTTTCGAGTTGCTTCTAGGGATCGCCTGCAGCGCCATCTTCTCAGCTTTCTCTTCAGTGTCTACCGTATTCTTAAAACTGGCGCGTCTAGTTTTATGCGCCTTTGTTGGAAACGGAATTTTCAGGGACGTCCTGTATAATGCTAGCTGTTGATGCAGATAAAGGATGTGTTTATATCGCTTTTTAATTGTCCATTTGAAGTCTCCGTGTTCTAGATTTATTGTGTATCTGGAATAAACGATAAAATCCTTTAATTTTACAAATTCAACAAACATTGGTCTATTTTATGTTAAGTAGAAAGAGTAATCTAATAATCTAATATCTGTCATTAAGTTACCAAAGTTATCATGTTTCTTATGGACAATTATAAAAATCCACGATTTACAACTGAGTAAATAAAAATAGTGAAGGCAGTTTTTACGTCACTGACCTTATTCTACTTTAACCATCAACACAAGGGCTTTATCTCAAATGCTTGAGTAATTACGAGTCATGTGATGGCGTACTTTTATGGTTTGAAACATTTTTTGTATTCTAAAAGATTATGATTTAACTTAGACTTTTAGACTACGTAGAAAAAGATACTTACAAATTAGGATTAAGTAGATGGGTAGTGACACTCCGTTCATTTTCCACAAATCTAACCTTTATTTCCACTCCTGGAATGAACACTTTCCGGTGTACTGATTTGAAATTGATTGGTGGAGAGTGTATACTTTTGTATGGTACTGATTTTGCAGAGGGTACTGAAATGAATATATAACAATATATATATATTAAATATGTATCTATATTCAAATCTTACGAGAAAACTCCTTAACATTTTTGTATGTCTTTCAGCTCAGAAAAGCAAGCTGCAAAGACTTTTTTCTAGTTTTCTTTTCAAAAAACAAAACTAAAACACTACATTCAAATTCATATTTTTGATTATAAATAATATTTATGTGATGTCATAACTTATTTTATCTTTAAGCATTCCTCACATGCTTTGTCACTCAAACGTATTGTGATGGTACAATATCTGATAACATATAAAGATTTCAAAATTGATTGATTGAATGCTGGGATAGTTCCCTTTACTAAAAAATAGGTAAATATATTAAATGAACAAATACTTGTGTCAAAACATAATTTGTCACTTTATGAACTGATAACTTATCAGTATCTTTAAACCACTAATTCAGACTTGCATACTAAAATCATAACAATTGCTATTTTAGTAGTGACGGGTTACTTAATCTCTTTATCATTCGTGAAGTGTGTTTTCAAATATATCATAATATTTTAAGAAAACACAATAAAATATTTATTATATTTGAAAGAGCAGGAAACGACATAACATTTATCAGAGTGAATGTATTATTTAAGAAATACTTCAACAAATTCCAGATACACACCAAAAAAACAAATTTTATTTAGTCTCCTACCTAACTACCTACTATACCTGAACTATCAGTTTCTTCTTTACACTTATCAACTTCTATCACAGATAAAGATTCAGGAACAGCAAGGCACTCATCAAAATCTGAATCAATTCCAGGTGTCAGTGAGTCCAGATTTTGAAATACTCCTTGAAAACAATCTCCAGGTGTAGATGGAGTCGGTGGATCCATACCGGGGTTTGTATAACCGTATAATGCTTCATCTGAAACAATAATGATTACTCACTGACTTTCTAAAGGTACACTGAATAATATATAATAATTGTAATTAGATTTCCTATGAGATTAAACAAAAGAACGATATTGTTTTAAGTATTGTGTATTTTAAATTCCTTTTAATACGTTTTTCAGTGATTTTAAAGTGTCAATTAAGTATTAATGGTTCTAAAAACAAAACTGAGTGTTGTTTAAGATTTTTATTTTTGGGAGAAATATTAATGAATTAGTTAAACACTAGTTTCCTTCTGTTCTATTAATACTTTTCCTTAAATGAACTGCAACACAATTACATAGTACCTATAACACATACCATGTATACACTTATATGCTATTTTGATTATTATATATAAACAGATGTTTTATGTGTAACACAATGTATCTATATATATATTATTCTACACTGCTTACTGTCTCGATCAACACAGTGCGTCAGCTAGTGTTTTTAGAGACCTGAATTTGTGATCTGTGTTTGTTTTTTATTTTTATTAGGTAGCTGATTTCTAAAAGGGTTCCCCTAGGTATAGATAAGTGGGCAGTTTGAATGGCTGAACCTAATTCTTCGATCAAGTTTTCTAAAAAATGTGCAATAGAGTGTTCGTATTAACGGGAGACATGTTTTAAACAAAAAAACATAAAATATTATAGTACCCGAATCCTCTAGGGGCTTCAAATTGTGTTTTTATACTTTTTTTTAAATATATAGTGTCATAATGTTATGAAATGCAATTTTGTAGGCATTGTTGATAGGTATAAATTATTCATGAAACATTTTTTCTTTTCTTATCAATTCAACTTTGCTCAAATGAAGATAATTAATAACAGTTTTTATCAATGCAACATAACATAATAAGGATATAATTAGTTTACTCACTAGAAAGCTCCTTAAAACCAGAAGTTCTTTGCAAGGTAACTGCATACTGTTTTTGAATAAAATCCCTAGTACAATAGTAAAATTTTAAATTGTATATTTAAACAAAACTACTTAGAAATATATAGTTCTTATAGTGTAAACCAATATCTATAGGACAACAATGTTTAGGGCTTGGAGGAACCCATTTTACAACAAACAAGATATAGTACACTTTAAGAGTAAGGAATTTGCAACTAAAACTTTGTATTAAAAGGAGTGGCCGCCAGTTTCTTTCGATTTCTTCTCCTAATTCTCCGCCCTTGATATGAAAAATGGTTGTAAATGTTCCTTTTTTTATTTTATTTACTGTATCATAAGTGTACCTAGTTACCTAAATTAACAAATGTTTTTTATTTGATTTAAGTTTAATTCTTTCACAGCACTAAGTTTAAACACACAACACAGTCACAGAATCGCACCTCGTTTAATAAGATTGTGAAAGCTTAAAGTTAACTCCTTGCGCTCCATAGAATCGCAGGCATGCACGAAAAAACAACCACCTGCTCGTCTATACGGGTACTGATTTGCAATATTCTGCCCATTACACGCGATGTATCTAACATTTGAATACATAATCTCGCTGATAAGATAAAGGACATCGATTTCAGTTGTTCGGTTGTCGCGGCGTATCGTCAAATCAAACACGAAAATTACCGCCCCACGGTTCACTGATCAACGCGAACTCAAGGTAATCATGCGATTAAGAAAATCTTACTTACAAAAGTTTTCCTAATTCATTTGTTTCGGTATTAGCTTTACAATTACATGTCGACTGAGATAATACGTCCGCGCGTCCACCTGTTGAATTGACTGACGAGAAATGAACTAATGTGAACTTATTAGATCCTATGATGACTCATCAGGCTAAACCAGATGAATCCAAGGTTGTTTCTGGTAAAAAATACAACGCGTACAGTCAGCAACCTTGTTTTGCATTAGTTGTTAGATCTTAAAAAAAGTTAGATGAAAATAAATAAAGTACGATAATGTGACGTACTTTGTACTTAAGTTAACTGACGTCATTCACTAGGGTTGCAATCTAAAATAAAATAATTTACCTTAGGTAGTTGCCCATGTATTTAATTGATTTAAATAAATAATTTTCGAAGACGCTTCTACTTTGAAAGAATTACTTTTTTAATATTTATCTATTATACACACTTGATCACTGTTGGTATTTGTTTTTAAATCTAATCACCATCTTATAATATCATTGAGAATTAGGAGTAGAAAGCAAACAAAGTACGGGGAAAGAATCGTGGTTGGCAAGAAAATACAAACCTGCTTCTTAACAATTAACGCCTTATGTTATTTTAAGCAAAATTGCATAATATATACAATACTATAATATTACTAGCTGAGCCGGCAAACGTTGTTTTGCCATATAAATAATTTTACTAAAATGTCCATAAAAAAATAAGGGTTGATCGTAGAAGGGTGAAAACTGAGGATTGTATGTATTTTTGTATGTTGTATCATAAAAAAAATAGAAATTAAAAATTTTGTCAAAACAATAAAAATATTTAAGGGTAAACAACCCTTATCACTTCGGGGGATGAAAAATAGATGTTGTCCTATTCTCAGACCTACTGAATACACATATCAAATTTGGTGAAAAGGTCGAGCCGGTCGAGCCGTCGCCGTTTCGGAGGAGTTCAAGTTCGAACACCGTGACACGAGAATTTTATATATTAGATTTATCACCCGCTTATCTGTTCGAATTAACAATAGGACCAATAACTAACCAATAGGAGCGAAGCAAAACTGGTAAATGTGGAAAAATATCATCCTTGGGGGTTTTCGTTGTGTTCGCGGTTTTACGGAAACGGTGCTAAAAAGTAGAAACCAAAAAATATGTTTGAAAGAATGGTTCTTTCTAAAAGTTTTCGAAATTAATTCATTACTACTAATTATTTGTTATAGTTGTATAAATGTGTTGGTTTTTTAATTGTGAACATTTTTTTTAGTCCTTTAGTCATCACTTCATTTTAATGAACCTATAGACAATATTTCAATTTTAAAATAATATGATGCCTAAAACAAATTTTCAACGGAGATGAAGTCGCCGGCACAGCTAGTATAAATATAATGTTTAAAATTTACGCTTAGAAAATATTTTGCTACTTATTATTAGCCAGGCGTATCGAAATGAACGCAGTTTACGTAAAATAATTTTGTAAATTATAAATTATCTCGTAAATTATGAATTCTAAATAATCTTTTAAATATACTTGTAAATACGTTTATATATATATTTAAGCGAGACTTTCGAGAGCGAAAAATAAGCAATATGTATTGTTATCTAATCAACTCTGTTCGGTTTATTTGGGTTTCCGTATTCGAGGACTCTATCTGTCACCAGAGTGTTTTGAACTATTAAAAAGTATAATCAATTGCTATTTACGCAAACGAAATATTATCTTTTATTTTCATTTATTTATGTAAATTTTGCGCTATTTCCGAAGAAATTTACCAAATTTCGTGATTATTATAAAAATCTACGGCGTATTCTGGTTTTGAAGTAAATATACCGTTATTCTTAGGATGTATAATATCTTATATATATATCAATACTTCTATTAATTAGCATACATATATATATATGTATTGTAAGTAATTTTCAATAGTCACAAGTGCACTAAGGTGAAATATCAATTTTAGATTAAAAAAAATGTAGGACACGGGCGGTACTTAAATTGCTCTATGCTCTAACCCAGAATTCCCCAAACTTTTTTGTGTCGTAGACCCGTTGCAACTTACACACTTTTCACTGCTCTAACCAATAGGGCTACCGGGTCCTAGACGTTATCACCGATTTTTTTGAACCAATTGATATATGCACTGCTCTCGCCATTTCAATCTAAAATCAATTTCTGATAATAATACCATTGCAATTAAGTACATGTGAAAAATATTAAAATGCAATAAGTTTCTTCTTATTAAGAGATTATCAAATCAACCACTGAAAAAAACAAAATGGTGTGTTTAATGGGAATTGAAGATGTATCTATTTCTTCAGATAATCGAATTACAATGCCACAATTTAATGGAATGGTTATCTATCAAATTTTACCTATTATTTAATGAAAACAAATGTCATGTTCTTTCGGGTCATTTTGTATGGTGCAATGGAGGAAAAGTTAGGTACACTACATAACAGCATTAATAATATACCATGCATCGTCTCTGGTCTCTTAAAATCATTTTAGCAACTGAATTTTAAACTAGATCTTTTAAAAACACTTGTTATCTCGGAAGGATTGTGTAAGGACAGTTGAGTAATGTTTTGTGAAGAATTATGTCACGACGTGATTTTATTTAAGGATTCGCTGCGGGCTCCTTGTCGAAAGGTATTGTTTATAAACAAAAGCATTTTTCTAAACTGAATACCTCTGCAGAAACTGAAAGTTTCGCGTGCAATCGTATGCAAATGGCTTTCGTAACGAATTCGCTATTCTATTTATTGATAGGTACATACTCATGGTTTATTTTCAGTGTGATACAAACGCTAAGACAGATTCTATATATGTGTATATCTATCGTGGTGTGTTCACGCGACTTTGTTTCTATAAGTTAGTTTTTCGTTTTGATGAAGATATCACCGTATGTAATAAAAAACGATATACCACCCAAAATTATTAAAAACTAATATTCATAAAAAAATACACGTAACAATTAAGCAACTAATAGATCATTTTCAGTACACGGCTTTTATCAGCTATGTATTTAGCTAGGCAGTGTAAAACAGTACGGACTTTTGGATCTAGCTACCCTCCGACTTCGTCCGCGTTGGAAAGAGACTTGCAGCATTATTGAATACGTCGAAGATAGATCTTATTTAAATTGTCGAGCTAATCTCAAATCATTGCAAATTTTTATGTTTAAATAAATTATTTATAAATATCACATTAATGTAGCAAGCCCAATAGTGACATCACTGAAGTTGCATTGGAATATGTTTTTGATAGTAATTATTTGACTAAAACTCATAATTAGATTATTTATTTGCATCTGAGCTCTAAAAATCTTGTTTCGTTGGTAAACCTGTTGTTTGGTTATTACAGAAATATATATATATATATATATATTCATAATAATATTTCTCTGTTACTTTCAACTCTGGACTGGATTTCGATATTCCTACCATCCATTTTTTATCTAGATTTTCAGATAAGTCTAAAACGTTTTGTTGAATCCGATGGAGATTTAAGCTAAGACCCGTTGATTATTAGCCGTACATTGCTACCATTATAACAAATAGCCTCAATTTATTGAAATTAAGTTACTATGCCAGCGAAGCCTTGAAGCAATGCTTGTCTATGTACAAGTTTAAATGTACCGCACTACCCGCACAAGGGTTGGCGCTGAGTGCCGGCTATAACTCATATTATACAAAGAACTGCGCCATACTAGTGCAAGTTATCACGAACACGCGGCCAGGTGGGCAGAGAATGTCGCGAGAGCAAAAGTGACCACAGTCGCAAGCCGCGCACCGAACCGTCCTCGCGTGGAACTCAGACGCACGCAAAATGTACGCACAGCGCCAAAATTCGAATTTGCCTTCCGAAACCGAATAATCGCGTTCCGCAATCAGTTCACTGATGCGGAAAGCGAAAATTTTAACGACATTTTTACCAGAGTTAGCCGAGAGGCTGCGATGCTAGCGCTACTTTTGTTGTTAAAACGTGGAAAGTGTAATTAATACAAGCCTATAAAACTAAACTAAATTTGACTATGTGTAATTGCCTCAAAACTTGCGGTTCCCTTTTTTCTAAGTTCCAAGTTTTCCTTCGTGTTGAAGGCTTTTAGTGTAATAAATAAACTCTGGTAGATTTGTCCAGTTTGTTTTGCAAACGTCGATTATAATTGCTATATTTTAAATCGGTTTTCGAACGTAATATCGAAAAATGAAAGCACTGTGCGTTGTCGTGTAACGTGTTTTTTTATAAAGTGTTACAGTTCATAGTGACGGGAATGATGGTGGATTCCACTTAAGACAATCGTGTTTTTTATGCTGACAGAGAAAACTATCAATAAAGTAAGTGACATATATGTAAAAATGATAAAATTCATCGTATATATTTCGTCATACTACACACATATGAACCACGAAATGTAAAACAAAAGAGATTATGATTTTTTGTCTACTAGAGGTATAGCTTTTCGATAACTGGACACAGAGAGGTTAATAAATGCAAGTGAATATTTAAAATGTACAATACATTGGTATACTAGGTTGGTAAGAAATTAGTTTGTAACTGCAATAAGGAGCTAGGTTATTGACTTTATTAAAACCTTATTTCTCGACTTGGTCCGCAGTAAATTTTGTTGTTTCGCTTTCTAAATAGCCGGCCATGAGTGTAGCTACAGTCACGATTAAACTGATTTAATTTAATTTCAAGATAATACCTACTTAGCTTCTTGTTAATAAATGCTAAAATGCATTTCGAGACCGAAAAGTTGGCTAACGTATCGTAATATAATTAAGTCACTTTAGGAAATATAATTTAAAAGAATACGTAATATTAGCACTACATTTCTCAATTAATGCATGAGGCTACGATCTGCGTAGA